CTAGCAAAGTTGGCAGGCATTCCAAAATTTGATATAATGTATTTGATAAGCACCAATTTCACAAATAATGGAAATAAATCTGTATTTTTAAAACCGAAATAGATAGAAATATTCTGTTTAGAGAATTGATTGTTAACATAGGTTCCACAATTTGTTTAATCAACAATATATTTTCAACCCCTTTAACAGGGTAGGGGGTGGGGTGACTTATTTTCTTCAATATCAACCCCCTCATATATATGGCCCCTCATTTTGAAAAGTTTGTCAAAAGAAACACAATGACGCAAAACCGAGGTGAATATCTCACCCCTAGCCAAAATAGCGGATATTCCAAAATTTAATTTTTGTAAAAAAGCACCCATTTTGGAATATCCGCCATTTTGGCTAGGGGTGAGATATTCACCTCGGATTTGCGTTATTGTGTTTCTTTTGACAAACCCTTCAAAATGAGGGGTCACTCAATAGGGGCTGCTATTTGAAAAAATAAGTCACCCCCTACCCCCAACCCTGTTAAGGGGGTTAAAAAATATTTTTGATGTAAAAAACTGCAAAACCTTTATTAACAACTATTGTCACAAACAGAATATTTCTATCTATTTCGGTTTTAAAAATACAGATTTGTTTCAATACTTAATTTAAACACTGTATAACCTTATTTTTCATCTCTCCAACACTAAACAGTCATCACTAACTGCACCACGACTGCTATGAGTTAAGGACTAAGGTGGTCACTCATAAAAAACTCAAGTACAGGAAGATAATACAATGTAGTCTCATAGATGAGCAATAAAGTTAACAAATAACAAGCTACTTGTACAACAAAAGTACATATTACAAAACTCCCCTTATCTAGTTATTATTATTGTAGATAATGTTTTCAGATATGATGTGAATACTTAGACTTAAAGTTTTGAAATTGGTATTACTGGCAGTACTTCAGGACTAGACATGTTTAGTTAGTTGTTTTACTTCCAGTGCTCCAGTTTATTCAGTAGGGGAGAATAGTGTATAGAGGTTAAGATCTTTAGGTTGATTATTTTTAATTTTTAAAAGAGGAAAACAATCAATTAATGGTAAGTTATTGGAAAAATACTAGTTTTATTAACTTAAATTTTTAATGCCCTCATATGAGCTTGTATGGCAATGTTGATTTATTGAACCTGCTAAAATAGACAAAATATGTAAAACCAAATACCTAATCAACACAACTAAATATCTCACAAAATTAACTATGAGGATGGATTCTTTTGTAATACAAATGTAATTCTAGTTTTAAAATCCTTGAACTGAGTTCTTTTAAATAGGTTACTTCTCACTAATACTAATGCATTTGAATTACATATAAGATTTGGAAATAGATATATGGTCTTAATGACCATAAAATACTCTAGTTTAAACCCTTTTATTGGGGAAATTATATTTCCTACATATGATGATGAATTTAAACTTCTTTTTCCTAATAGCTTATGGGTCGAAAGCCCCCTCCCACTTGCCCCCCACCAAATATGGGCACCCTTGTTTAGCAGGTATTACCTCCTGGGTTGTTTTGTTTTAAGTAATAAAGATGGCACAAGGGACTGAGTACCTCACCAGCATGTACCTTCAGATCAGAAAATCTTACTCATCCCTATGACTTTCTATATTATATAGTATTAGTCACGTTTGATTGACAGGCGAAGCAGGATAGCTCAAGTAGCTTATTGATTGTCTTTCAAGAAGCGCTCTACATAAATCAATGGGTTGTGTAGCCTACTTAGTTTCTGACTCTTTTGTCTATGTATTTATTATTTTCAAATGAATAATTGGTAAACTATTAGAAAGTGTCAAAAGTTATAGGAGCGACAACATTCAACCATTTTGTTAGATATTCAATAATTTTGACAGTGATGACAAATGATACTGTGTTATAATAGACACAACATTTTTAACTTTACAAAATTTTTGGCAAAGTTTTGAAGTTCTAAACTTTTTGAAAATAATTGTATTATTTGCAATCTTTGTTATCATAAATCATTGTTAAAAACCGAAAACCTAAATAAAAATTATTTATATGTAAGAGATTAACCACTTTTGATCTCTAAATAGCTGTTTATACCCTGGAAGTAACCTCTTGTTGCGCCCTCTCCCGTTAAGGAAACTCATGCAGCCTCCTGAAAGGTAAAAAATGTCTTGTTGTAGGCTGGGGCAGTGTTTTTGGGGACTTTGATCACCGGACTGGTCTTACCCCAGATTCCTGAGTCCCCTTGTCCTGATGTGTTCCAATACAAGGTTCAATCATTGGCAGACAACTCAGTGACGATCACTGGATTGATCACTGTCACTGATCCTCCGAAAGAACGTGTCCTTCAACTCTTCGTCCACCTACAACTACGTGCCATCCTGCCTTCAGTGAGTTTTGATACCAACTCTATTTACTTTGAAGAAAATCGGTGAAACGGTTGGTGAGTTTTACTTTACCTGAATACTGAGACAATTCTTTTTAAATATTAGGTAAAATTGTTTTCATTTCATTACGAATTCTAAAGATTTTCATACAAAATCTTGAAGTGCATCAGAAGATCCGTTATCATTGGGCTTTTAATTAACTATCCTGGCTGAAGAACCAGCAGATATTAGTAGGTAACAAAGCTAAGCTGTCATCTCAGTCATTCACAATCATTGTTCTGTATCCTGGTGTGTGGTTCTAATTAAAATCTCTTGCTATACAACAAAACAACAACTTTGATACTTTTTTTACATTAAATTTATATTGTTACACTGAGACATGAGGGTGCATGTTTCAAGGTGTGAACAATTATTGTGAGTGAAAGAGGTAACAGCAATTGTTACCGAGTAAAATCTGCTAGTTTTAAGGAAACTCCAGATTGGGTGTTATTTTAGGCCAGGACCATCTATTTAAAACCTAATGATAAAGAACTATAGCTGGGTCCAGTTTCCAAGCATCATTAAGCTTCTAAGTTTTCTTTGAATCAAATAACAATGACTGGCGACCAGCGACCAGTTTCTAAACTTGAAGAGTTATAGATTATTTTGTACCAAAGAATATAAATAAAACTGTTTACAAGGCATGACATTTCATTACTTATTTCAGTAGTTCCTGTAAATGTGGTTTTGTTTTGTTAAACAAAGATGTTTTTAAATGTTATCCCGAAACTGTTTCAGCACATCTTAGCACAGCTACCACAAATGTTAGCAACAGGCTAAATAAACACACAGAGTGTTCATAGATGCAACAGTTGAGTTGATTTAGTCATTTATCAATGTAACAGTTGAGTTGATTTAGACACAGGTCTAACAGTTGATTGATAGACTTTAGACTATCATAAATACCGGTACCATATTGGCTCATTCATTTGTAAAACCATCTGATTGTTTATCTTATATTCCAAATTAATTTGAGAAATTTAATTTTATAAATATATACCAAGGTAAACCTTCCAAAAATATTTGAAACCCATAACCTTCAAGTTTACTAATCTTCCCCTTCCTCAATATTTCTTTTAACCACTATATGTTTCTTACAACTTCTGTACACTGTACAGTGTACAGTTTTATTTTTTCAGGTCTTAATTAATACACTTTTTTAGTAAAATTTTAATGATTAGAATCAACAAATTTATGTTTAGAAAGAGAATGTTGTTAGGTATTTAGTCCAATGACTTTTACACTGTTTCAAATCCACAAGAAAAGTTGAAGTTAAGATTTTTCTTCTTAGGTGTTTCACAGGTGTAACAGTTTTATTATAGTGTTTCCTTGCTGTTATGGATGGCTTTCATGGAGTTTACTATACATGTAATGAAAATGAAACTAGGTTTCTTGCTCTTTGATGGTAACATCAGCAGTTACTAATAAGCTAGGGGCCTGTTTCAGTAAAATACCTTACTGACTTCATTGGGATTGTTTTTTAATTACATGTTTAACCCTTCCCGGACGGGTGAAGAATATATCCGCCTAAGTCTTTGGCGATAAAGGACGGATCACGGATATATCCGCTTATGGTTTTTGATGTTCCGGACGGGAAGCGGATATATCCGCCTTCCCTTCAGACAGACTGGCAGGTGCTTGAGCAGTAACCAGACGTTTCGCGTACCAAGGCACCTGATTCCTGCTCATTCCATGGCTGCGCTCTCTCTCGCACTCCCCCCTCTCTCCCCCGTCTACCCTTCCCGCGTCTACCCCTTTCCCGCACCACCCCCTCTCCCGCGCACCATCAAACCTCTCCTACGCTCCCCCCTCCAGTTTTCGCGCTCAACACTATGTTATCTTTATTTATTGTTTACATATTGTACTTTATTTACTGCCTAACGTTGTCAAGGTCATATCTTCAAAGACGGGTGGCGGATATATCCGCATAATTAAAAAATTATTTTGACAGTATGAAGTCTTCCATTGTGTTAATTTTATGTATACTAGTGTATAACAAAACACAAATAAGGAAAATAAATTTTTATTTTTTCCTATAATTTTTTCCCGTTCTATGTCACGATTTCGCCCGTCCGGGAAGGTATGCCTCCCAGAGGTATATACTATGTGGGCTTTATTTGTCTTATGCACATCCAGGATTCGCTGGCAAGTACAATTACAAACACACACACACACATACACACATTACAATTATTCTAGAATATGAAGTTTCACATGATCAATTTAAAAACCTCTTGCTTCTTTATAGTTGGAAACTTATTTTTTCTTGAACATGGGTCAAAGCACTTTACCACGACTGCCGGATCAGTTGATCTTAGAAGAGGAGTACGGACAGGGAGAAATCGTCCCACAAAATTTCAGACTTGATTTTGTGGGACAATTGTGTCTAGAATGTGTATGTACATGTGTTCGTTTGTCGTTGTACTTGACAAACATCAAAAAAATATACTGGTGAGAGAAACCCGCAAACTATTACCATTTAATTGAGATTGGCTTCATAATGATTTCTCAAACATGAATAGACAGACATTATTTTGATAAATTTTTTTTAAATTTCATTTTCAGAAGTATGTTGGATTAGTGGAATTAATTGATCGGAGTAATGTATCCACAAGCAATGTAACATCACAGATGTACAGAGTCAGGTTTCCATTGTTTAAACCATTGCCAACTGTGCGACTCATAAAGGTGAACTCCCAAAGCATCTGTTCAGGACCAATGGGTAATAAATAAATATTAAATTTTAATAATACCTGTCTGGTTTTTGTGGTTTAAATAACATGTAACAATACTTAAGAACCTAACACACACCAGTCAGGCTAAACTATACGGTAGTTTATGATTTGCTTGAAAAAAAAAAACATTATAAATCAGTTGGAAGCCCCAGTTGTTAAGCGCCAACAAAATCCTTTCTCGGCACTTTGAACCCAGTGATTTTAAATTTATTTAATTATGAAATTTTTTTTAATACACAGAAGAACCTCTTTAATCCGAACTAATTGGGACCGGGGGTAGTTCGGACTATTGAATAGTTCGGATTACAGAACATATTGTTGTTTTTACATAACAATAGCTAGAGAAAAGTGGAAATTGCTTTATAAAGTAAAATACAGTGTTTATTTAATACTGTAGTAAACATTGGGAATAAACAGTACTGTACATTACAGTTGAAATAATTACGGTGCGTATATCAATAAATACAGTATACAATAAAGAACTACTGTACTGTGTATAGAGTACAGCAATGAGGCGTTCGGATTAGTGGACGTTCGGATTACAGGGGTTCGGATTAAAGAGGTTCTACTGTACTTCTTACCAACACCCACATTAATATGTTTGGGTCTTTAGTTCCACATAGTAAGAGTAAAAAGTAGTGAAATATTTGATTGGAGGGTATGGAGTAAATTTCCTCCTGAGCGTTCTATCTCTCTTACCGAGCTCTGCCACTGATAGATACGCTCCTCTTGAGCTGCACACCACTCCAGACCTGATTGAGACGGAATTAGAAACCTTGATCAACGGTCCTCTCTCCTTGGGGACAACGTTTTAAACCAGCTGACTGATGGTAGACCTAACAATCCACTGCACTTATACTTGTGAACCCAAAGATCTAGTATTATTAAGCTTCACCTGAAGGTTTAACCCTTACCGGACGGGTGACGGATATATCCCCCTAAGTCTTTGGCAAAAAAGGACGGGTAGCAGATATATCCGCTTATGGTTTTTGATGTTCCGGACGAGAAGCGGATATATCCCCCTTCTCTTCAGACAGACTGGCAGGTGCTTGAGCAGTAACCAGATGTTTCACGGTACCTAGGCGCCACTTTCCTGCTCTCTCCGTGGCTGAGCTCTCTCCCACACTCCCCCCTCTCACCCGCGCCTACCCCTCTCCCGCACCACCCCCTCCCGTGCACCCCCCAACTCTCCTACGCTCCCCCCTCGACGTTTCACGCTCAACACTAAGTTGAATTTATTTGTTGTTTACATATTGTTCTTTATTTATTGCCTAACGTTGTCATGGTCATATCTTCAAAGACGGATGGCGGATATATCCGCTGCTTTTCTACTCATCTGTGGACGGGTAGCGGATATAGTTTATAGTTAAAAACGAGTAAAAAATTATTTTAACAGTATGAAGTGTTCCATTGTGTTTATTTTATGTATACTTGTATAACAAAACACAAATAAGGAAAATTAATTTTTTTTTTAATTTTTTCCCGTTCTACGTCACAATTTCGTCCGTCCGGGAAGGGTTGATAGCCTCAAATGTCAAGTCAAAGTCAAAATCCTATGCAAAAGTAAATGCTTCTATACCCTTTGGGAATCTGCTCTTTATTGTCTATCAAAATAGTAAAATTAGTTTTACCAAGCACTATATTTCAGAATCAGAATAAACATATCAATGAATGATTAGATAAAGTAAAGGGAAATTGAGGAGAGTCCTTTGAATAAATAACACTCTTTCTTGATCTCCATTTAATTATTTGAGGCTTAATAGAAGCTGAAATGAGTTTATGATGATGCAATTGTTGGAATAGTTGAATGATGGCTAGAAGTGTTTTCCCAGAGTATTATTTTAAAAATATATATAAAAAAAGTGAAATATATTTGACAAGCAATTTTTGTAACTTTTATTACTCAAATATTTTATCTAGATGAAATGAATGTTATACAGTCTGGATATTTTTCAGTTAGTGGTCCTGTGGTAACAGACATTCGACTGGAGCATAGCTTGTGGCCTCTTGGTTTGAATAACGCCACGGAGCATATCACGTTCCCTCAGGAGAATATCACTCCTACACCATACAACTTAGGTATGATAGGAGGAATCAGGTACCTATAAAAACTATCAAATTTAGCACCTAACAGACACCTTCATATGGAACGGCATATAATTATCAATTATCTCCCAAATCGGATTTAGAGAGTGCATGCCTCTCAAAATCAATCCAAAATGTTTTCACAGCATATTTTTTTACCCATGCAATAACAGCCTTGGTTATTGCAGGTTATTGCAATAACAGCCTTGGTATCCCCAAACTCTGTCCTACGAGCTACGCTATGATCTTAAAATATTTTTTTTTCATTTCAAAGCATCAAGTGGGTGCAGTTGTTTAGTAAATTTCATTCTGGGGTTTTGGCAGTGGTGTAAATAACACCCCCACAACCCCCGCACAGGGGGTGGAAGCTGAGGTCCGATTTTTTCGCAATTGCAGAAAAAAGTGACATTGTTTCCGTGACCGCGGAAGACGACGATGATAACTTAAAGAGCGCGGAAGATGTACAAGATCTTACCACGATCACAGAAAACAATAACGAGTTTCCATGACCGCGGGAGACGATGATCATGCCTACATGACCGCAGGATACATTCAAGATTTGGCCACGATCATAAATAATGGGAAATGGTATAGAATTTCCATAACCACGGGAGACAGTAAAAAAACGTCCGGGACAGAGTTTTTGGATTTTGCTGACATCACTACTTTTGCCTTTTTTCCTATGGTTTTATTTATTTTTAATTCTACTGCATACATTAACTCATAAGGGTATTCCATTTATTAAACATATATTTTAGAGGGTCTGATTGATTCTTTTATGCTCGAGATTGAGATCCTTCTCTCAACTCAAACTCATTAAAACACATTTGAGAAATGCAATGACAAATTCAAGACTGAGATCTCTAGCCCTACATTGAAAGAGAACGGGCTCGTGCTCTTGACTTAGACAAGCTAGCAAGTAACCTTTTCTGACAGAAGAAAATAAAAGCATTATTATAATTACCGTTATTGCAAACAAACAAATCTTAATCGTGAAATGTGCAGTTTTCCCAACTATTACAATTAATGAAATAAACTAATAGAACAGAAGTGGTGGTCTTTTGGTATCAGGGGGGGGGGGGGTATCATCTGCATGGACTGTGGGAAGGCATCGCTCAATGAACTTACGCCACTGGGTTTTGGTACATGGAGCTTTTAAGATAATTTTAATTACTTCATTCCATAAAGTTTTTAATTAGTCCTACTCCTAGAAATTATCACATATGCCACACCTGTAAATGTATGTAAAATAGCTCATTTCCCCTCTAGAGTGGGCATGACTATTAATTCCCGCTCGTTAAATCACTAAATCAGCTGATTTCATTGTTGGTGTGTTTCTATAAAACAATAACATTCGGTAAGAAAATAACTTACATTTTTACATACAACTAAAAAGATAATCTGTGTGTTAAGATAAGTTAGTTATGGTGGTATAAAAATGAGCACAAACAGTCATTGCCACTCTCAAAATGTATGTCAGCACTCAGCTTTCATCCATTTCTTTATAAAACTGCCCCAGCAATTAGTGAATCTCTAGGACATTATACATTAATGTGGTTCAATGTTTTTTTTTTTTTTTGAGGGTGACCTGGTGTTTGCTCTAAGGTTCTGGGCTTAAATCCTACCAATCCCCAATGGTTTTTAGCTAATGATAATGTTTTTGGCCTCTATGCCTAGCTTTAAAGTAATGTGTAAAACGGTTCTGGAACAGAGCCTAAAGCTTCCTAGAATATGAAGGAAGGACATAGTTTTAAATAAAAAATGTTTGCTTTTTACAGAACCGAATGAGCAGTGTGGCCAGGCAATAGAGCCCAACCCTCTGGTGGTTGGAGGCCGTTCGTTAAGACACGGAGAATGGCCCTGGCTGGTGGCCATCTTTGTACTAAACTCTCTCGGCTTGGAGTTTCATTGTAGCGGAACGATCATCACCAAGAAATTTGTTTTGACTGGTAAAATCAAGATCTAATTTTCTTATTTTTTTAAATATTCCATACTTGTATTTTAGTAAAAGTAATGGTGCTATACAGAATGAAATTTATTTAAATTACTTCAATATAATGACTTAGTTTGTCTTATGATTTTAACAATTTGTTATTTAATTATCGTACTTAAAAGAAACTCCATAAAAAGAATATCATGAATTTTTTCAATTCAAATTTATTTTTTTATTTTTTTATTTATTGCTCTTTACAATTTTTACATTGTGTAGCATTTTTACATTGTGTGATTCTAATATTTATAATTACATAGGGGCTATTTTATAAAATTACACTTTAAATTAAATTTAACTTTAAACAAATAAATCAATACATTTAAGAAATGGAGGAAAACTAAAAAACATTATACATTTATCAAGAAAACCTTAAAATATTAACTCATAACCCCTGGGGAATATAATACTGTGGCCCTTAACTCCAACGGTGTGCAGTGAACTCACCCACCGAATAGAATGCCTGATTTTTTAAGTCACGCTTCAGTTTCGTTTTGAATAGAAGGGAACTTTCCAGACTTTTAAGCCTTTCAGGAAGACAGTTGAGGAGTCTGACACCTACTTGAGAAGGAAGTTTCTCAAATGCAGCTGTTCGGTGTTGGACAGTGCGAAAACTTTCCCTTGCTCTAGTCCCGTGGCTGTGCACAGCAGTGCCTTGGATAGGCACATGTTGAAACCGGCAGTATACAGCCGTTTCCAACATATACAGGGAAGGTAGGGTCAAAATTCCAAGCTCCTTGAAAGCTTGTCTACACGACTCTCTCCGCCTCAGATTTGCAATTAATCTGATGGCTCTTTTTTGAAGCCTAAATGCTCTGTTAAAATTTCGTCTGGCACAACCAACCCACAATCTTAATCCGTAGGAAAGATGGGGATGAATGAGGCCATAATAGGCCATGACCAAAACTTGTGTTGAACATAAAGGCTTGAAATTACGCAAGGCAAAAACCCCTTTTGCAATTTTTGGACAGATGCTATCTACACGATCTTGCCAATTCAGCACTCTATCCAAGTGCATCCCTAAGAATTTTGTGGAATCAACCTCTCTCAGGCAGGTTTCATCCATCATTACAGTTGGCGTTGTCTCGTCGTTACGGTGACGAAGGGAAAAATTTATGTACGTCGTTTTTGACTGATTCGTGTTTAAATTTTCGGACTGAAACTTTTGGATGCATGCGTTCAAGTTGATAAAACTTTCAATTTCAAGACTTTCTTGGGATTCTGATTGAAAATAGAGAGTCGTGTCATCTGCATATTGTATGACTTTTCCGCCGACCATAGAGGAGCGGAGGTCATTAACATAAATTAAGAACAAAACTGGACCAAGGATTGAACCCTGTGGGACCCCTTGACAGACCCTTAAGGTCTTTGATCTGCAAGTCGACACCTGTACGTACTGGGTCCTACCCTCGAGGTAAGATCTAAGCCACATAAGTGGGACTCCACGGATGCCGCAGAGCTCCAGTTTCCTTAACAGTATGTCGTGATCAACACAATCAAACGCCTTTGAAAGATCGATGAAGACACCAAGTGTCTTTTTTAGATTCTCTAGTCCTTCAATTACATCTTCAATAAATTTATTTACAGCGTCTATCGTGGATTTTTCTTGTCTAAATCCATATTGATTTTCTGAGATAATATTATGTTTTTCCAAAAAGTTTTGAAGCCTAGTGAGAAAGATCCTCTCAAATATTTTACTCATAACTGGTAAGATTGAGATTGGGCGGTAATTATTTAAAATTTGTTGATCACCTTTTTTATATATTGGAATGACTTTTGAAATTTTCAATGCAGATGGGAAAGTTCCTGACTGAAGTGACAGATTGATGAGTTTTGTCAATGGGATCAGTATTGGCAGATAAATTTGCTTAACTGTCCACATTGACATGCCATTAATATCGTCAGATTTTTTTGATGGAAGATCATGAATGACCCGTGCAACCTCAATCTCACTGGCAGGAGCTAAAATCATTGATGATACCGGAGTGGGCCAGAAATGACTGTTAAGAGGTGTTGGGTTTTGTTTTAAGTTACATTCGCCAACTGACTGGAAAAAAATATTGAAAGCATTGGCAACATCCTCTGGGTTATTCACAAGGTTTCCATTGACGTTTAGTGCAATTGGATTGACTTTTTTATCGTTTTTTATATTGTTGATAATACTCCATATTGTTTTTGAGACGTACTCTGAATTTTTTATTTTCTTATTGATAGCATAAGCCTTTGCTGCTTTAATAACCTTCCTATAAATTCGTTTGTATCTTTTAAAAAATATTTTGAATTGCTCATCGCTGGTTGTTTTATATATCAGAGAATAAGATTTTATCTTTTGTCGTGAAATCAGAATTCCTTGGGTGATCCAGGAATTCTTTGTATTCTTTATTTTCTTTCTACACTTTTTTAATGGACAGGCTACATCAAGATTATAAATTAAAACTTTATTAAATGCATTAAAAGCTTCTTCTGTTGATAGAAAACTATCTATAAATGTCCATGTCTCTTTAGTGAGATTTTCATTTAAAAGAGATATATGACTTGGGGACATGTCACGTTTCATACTAATAAAAGGGGGGTCAAGTTCCGGTAAACATCCTCCGATAATTGTCTCCTGAGCAAAGTGGTCAGATATAGCAGTTTCAATTACAGTAACATGACTATTGGGCACGTTGGTGACGACGTTATCAATGGCAGTTTTAGTGGTGGCAGTCACACGGGTAGGTGAGTCCACCGACCATTGGAGTTAATAGGTCATGAGTATGTCCTGAAACTGTTTAGTCACAGGGTCATTTTTGTTCAGGACGTCTATATTAAAGTCCCCTACAAGTACAAATAATTTCTGCTTAGACACTAACTTACATAATAGACTATCAAAATGCTCAAAAAATATCTCTGCCTTACTACTAGGGGATCTATAAAGACCTATAATATTGACAATTCCTATTTTACTGAGATTTACTTCAATTCCACTCAATTCAAAATTAAGATCAAAAGCAAATTTATTTAGAGAGAGTGGTTTATATTTTAATCCATTTTTAACAAAAACAGATATTCCACCACCTCTGTGAGTTTTGCGTTGATACGACTCAGCTAATTCATAGTCATTAATTTTAAAGAAATCCAAAGTATTATCGGTAAAACCATGCTCAGAGGCGACAAAAACTGAAGGCTTTAGCTCATTTGTTAGAAAAAACAATTCATCTATTTTGTTAGTTGCAATTTGCATATTCTGGTGTAGGATTTTAAATTCTTTAACTGATTCTAAGTATTCCCCAGGGGTGAAAGGCATGGCCCTAAAAAATTATTACAAGGATTAACTTGCGAGTTGGTAGTCTCTCCTTCACATCGCTGGGCTGGCACTGCCACGTCCGATGATCCTGTGGAATCTCCAGCGTCATTGCCCGTGGTTGATAACCTTCTTGCTGTGTATCTGAGTGACGTGGGAGACATTTCTGTTGTTGACGAAGTCCGCAGAGGAGGAAACTCGTCCATTGACCGGGTCAAGGTGGTGCTGCAATGTGGTTCTGGAGTTGAGGGATGGTCGGGCAAGGTCAGGCTCAGGCCAGGAGTTTGCCAAACTGATGAGGCTGGGGTGGACGCTTGAGATGAACGTTTGGACGATACTTCAGGGTAGACATCAATGACATCAGTAATATCATTAGATATTTTCATAGGGATGGGAGCTCTTTTGTCGACAGATGGAATATCTTTATGTGCTGAATTTGAGATGTCTACTGGAGTCGAAGTCAAACTTGGCGACTGCTTGTTACTTTGTCTTATAAATCTTGTGATCAGATTTCCTAAACGTTGTTTCCCATGACGGTTGAGGTGGATTCCGTGCTTTGTATAGTCGGTCCTAGCTAGATTGCTATTAATATCTTGGTAAGCCAATTTAAGTCCTCCATTGTAACACTTCACTTTTTTTAATATAGAGCAGTTTGTAAAAAATATGTTGTCGTTGAGTGATGGGTTGTCATAACGATAGGGTACACTGTTTATTATTATGTTGGCTTTAAGTGTAAGCGAAAACAGTGAATTTATCCCCTGAGCAATAGTGAATTGGGAAGGTTCGTTGTGATGTAGGTCATTTGTACCGGCCAGTATTATTATGAAATCATCTTCATTAAAATTTTTCACCATGTTAGATCCGTCATAAATAACATGCTTCATCTTGGCTCCGGATTTAACATATACCAAGACTTCGTATTCTTCTTCCAACTCCTTTAGGTATTTAGCTAGCTCCTTTCCGTGACTGTCCGCCAGTATTGTAATCTTCTTTTTCTTCTTGGTGTCTACCGGTGCGGGGTCTAGGGTTCTTTGGTGTTTGTTTTTTGGCACGTCAGAAGGTGATGCTGGTCTATGGACTTGAGCCTGGACGTAGATCAGTTGACCGCAAGGTGCGAGTTGTTGAGAATAATCCGTTGCTAGGGCTGAAAAACTGTTTGTTGTAGTTGGGTTTGATTCTATTGATAAGTTACTATGCTTTACTGTATGTTTCGGCGTGATAAAGTTGTGCTTAGATGAGGTCGAAGATGGAAGTGATTCGCAGGTATTTTTATTTATTTCATGTAAATTATGATTGTCAGCTTGAATCAAATCAATTATAGCATTTTTATTCTTTAATTCTTCTTTAAGTTTTTCCTGACTAGCTCGCAGCTCATCGATTTGGAGTTTCAATATCTTCATATCTTCCTCTGTTTTCTCCTCGAAACACAAAGTGTCAATGTTTTCTTTTCTTTTGATTTTATCATTTTCCAGGAGTTTTTCTAAAAGATTTTTTTGCTCTGAAACCTGAGTAAGGTTTTCTTTTAGCTCCTTATTCGATGTTATGGTCATATCTAGTTTATTTAGAATACCAGTGATGTTTGGAATCAGGTCAACAATGGCATCACTTGTGTATTTATCTGATATAGTGGAAAGAGTACTTCGTAGATTCATAGCAATATCAATCACTTCCCCATTAACAAGTTCTCCATTTAAATTTTTTAGGTCTTTCTCTGCTTCTCGTAGTAGATTCCCACGCCCTCGGCGCGTCTTAGTTCCCGTCATTCTGTAGCTCCTGCACGTTTCTCTTGAGCAATATGCAAAACAGATGGGCCTAACCTATTCACATTTGCACACGCAGGGGTAAGCAGTAGCTTGTAGTAGTTCTAGCATTCGCCGCTGAATGTTCTAGGAGGTCTATTGTAAGGTAGGCCGACAGTATTATAAGGTCTTTTGTAAGGTATGCCGACTATTCTAGGAGGTCTATTGGAAGGTAGGCCGACAGCACTATAAGGTCTATTGGTAATTAGACGACGGTACAAGGAGGTCCATTGGGAAGTACACGACTATACTGGGAGGTCCATTTGGAAATAGCCTGACTGCACTAGGTCTATCGGGAAGTAGACGACTGTACAAGGAGGTCTATTGGAACATTGGAACACTATGTTATTTGTTATTTGAATGTTATCTTCCTAGCCTAATTAAACTTTTTTTGAATAGATTATCGTTTTAGCAGTCTTATATTATCAAAAAAGCTTACAAATGCCGATCTGGAACCTCTTGTTTTCAAATTAGCCTTTTCAAAGTTCTGAAGTGGTGCCACTATGCTTAACCAACCACTCTAGTAGTCATGTATTGAGAAAATCTTCTTCCAAAATTTTAAAAGTTTTATCCGAGTAAGTTATTTGTTAAAAATCTATCTTTTCACTTTTAAATTGAAAATGTAGTATTTACAATATCACAGAAATTAAAATAATCAAAATATATGTAAAAAACTGAAGGAGCCGTTCAGACAACGAATTGCTCCTTACCTCCTTCTTCTTATTCCTAAGTTATAGGCCTAACTTACATTTATCATACATTTATGCTGTAAATTTTTGTCTAACCCAAATGAGTTCACAATAAATTGAAAAAGACAATACACTCATGACAATTAATTAATTAATTATTGTCTGGATAATAACTGGGAGCCGAAGACTTTGTGATCCTTACATCCAATTATCTTTTTGCAGAACCACATTTAACCCTCTAGAGGGCGCACGTTGGTGGAAAACACCGAAACGTACCATTTCGGTTATTATACTGGGAGGGATAAGCGGACCGGGGCACCCCCTCCTAGAGACTCCTCAGGGTAGGGTCGAACTATTAAATGACAGAGGTTGGGAGGGGTTAGTTCCAAACTACCCGTCACAGTACAAAAACAGTGCAAGGTCGGTCATTTCCTCCGAAGCTTCCAAACACGTGTTTGTATAAAATCGGTCGTTAATCCCCATTGCGCCTAACTGTGTTAGTGTATTTTTACATTTGTCGCAATGAGCCATAATGAATAAAGGGGAATTTTGGCCTGATTCAAGAATCAGTCCATGATGTGTTCTAAACATATCAATTTCCTTAATAAATATTGGGGTGACATACGGTAATGTTATCTAGAATTTCAATATCGAGGAAAGATTGACCAGAAGAGAGTTTTTAAAAGACTTGCCCTAGGCTCTTTGTGTTGACTATCTTAAGTCAAGAGCAGTAATTCAACAGGTCCCTAAAGACTGTAAAGGGGCGATCAAGAAAATCCTACAAGTGAGAGGTGAAGCCCTCCTGATCGACCAGCACCAAAATGTTGAAGGACGTTGTGGAATTTTGTAAAAACTTTCCAAAATTAACATTTCGGAAAAACCAGACCTCGTGTGCTCGCTGCAAGAAGTGCATTTGTAGAGAATATATTAGCCCATTTGTGTGGCCTGTGCTGAAACTGCTGGAGAACAGAGTGAAAATGATCAAGTGTAAGCTTTGTAATTTGTAAATAATTATTTTCCACTTTAATAATGTAAAATATGATGCTGTTTTTCTATTAGTATAACTATTTAGATATCATATCATGTACTTTTATTCCTCAGTTTTCATCAATTATACTTTTTTCTAAAAGAAAATGTTAATTTGGTCGAAAAGACTGACGCCCATTAGTGTCACTTTAGCTGATGCGCCCCCTCGAGGGTTAACTAGCTCAGTCAGATAAAACCCTTTCTCCCTTAGAAAACTCAAAATCTAGAAACATGCTTGTTAAGGTCCAATTCCTATGCGGCGACTGATACGACAGCCGCACATCTAGAGCCGTGCGGCTTGAGACGCTTGTCTTAATTCCTATGCCGCGACTCATACAACTCCCACGACTAGTGACTAGTGCAATTGCACTCTTGACAGCCATGGAATAAGCACAGTTGGCAGCGAATATTTTACTTGGAGAAGAGAAGGAAAAGGAAATATTAATGTGCATGGTAAAAAACAATAAACAACCTAATCCATTGTTCATGGTACGGCGAAAAGAGGGGTGTTTCAGAGTATTCTGATTCAGAGACATCTTTTTCAAGTACTGGGGGTGCTTGGGGTTGAAAACGTATGGGTGATGACGAACCAGTTCCATCAATTTTGAATCATTTATGAAGATACACACCTCAAACTACGTATGTATAAACTATAAATTTTGTTACAGCCGCGCTACGGAAGCGACTGGACTGCTCACGGAGCAGTCAAGTAGTGACAAATCGAGCCGCGCGGCTCTAGTCGCTCCAGTCGCGTAGCTGTACGCTCGATAGAAATGGGTTGCATTTACTTTGCATTGAAGCAGTCAATTTTTACAGCCGTTTTAGAGTCGTAACAGTCGCAGGATAGGAATTGGACCTTTAGATTAGCTTTGTACAGACAATAATCTCCAGATTACCAAGGACTAGCCACGGGCATGTAGACAGGGGGCGGGACTGGAGGTACCATAAGTACTTGGAAAGAAAAGTGTTTAAATATTATTTCATCCAATCATCATTATTATTTGTTGTTATTGAGCATGCATTATTTGTTCATGGAATGAACCTTTAAGTTTACTTATGGCGCAGACTAAGTTCCCCTTCAAAACCAAATCCTGGCTACATTCTTACATATTCATTTCATACATTCTTAGAAGATATAAATGTTTAGCTGTAGGTTAAATGGCAAAACTTGTTCTGAAAAACTTACATGTTTTAGAAACGCTGGCTAATACAGACATTTTTATTTGTTTTATTTTTAGCGAATTTCCCATATAGGGAATAAGCTATTACCGTAGTACTCATGGTAAGACCTGGACGCGGGACCGATTTTTGTTTTCGTTTTGAGGTCCCTAGAGGCCAAAAACACCATCCGTTCAAATTCATATATATATATGTGTGTGTCCGTTAGCGCGATAACTAGAGCAAAAGTGATCCGATTTTGATATTTGGTACAAACATGTAAACCTACATTTATTCGAACGAGTTCGCGATCCAGCATAATCGGACAATGGGAACAGGGGTTTATGGGGGGTTTTATGGGGTAAAAATGGGTTTTTCCCATTTTTGACCCTAAAAACATAAAATATTTGAATTTCTTTCCCAACCATTTTGTAGAGCTTTAAAAAAGAAATAATTTAGTATATTGAAGCATTGTTGTATGCCTAACGGTCATGGAGAAAATTCAAAAAAATGCAAATTTAAAATTCCCATGTTATTCTTATGGAGAAAATGAAAACTGTTGTAGTTTACTTGTTTATGGATATATGTTGATCAAATTTGGCAAACTTATTTATTTCATCCTATACTATTGTTGTTTGGTCAAAAAACACTGTTTACCGTCCCCGTTGCAGCAAACCTAAGCACTCGTTATATCTAATGTTATTTAAATTGGGAATAAATATGTCTTATTTATGGAAGTATTTTAGTAAATATGTAATCAGACAAGTTGAAATTTGCTTAGTCTGCAGGTTTGCTGCGGCAGGGGTATTATTTAGATATGCCTGACTTGCTATGATTCTTTAATGTGTTTGATTTTCAGTCGGTCACTGCATGAGGCACGAGGAGGCTGGGACAATGGACCCTGTAGATGTTGTGGTGTATCTTGGAAAATACAACCTTCAACAATGGGAGGAATCTCACTCTGTCATTAAAGAGGTTTGTTTAAGATTAACAATAGTATTCTATCCAGGTTAAATTTTTTACTAAAACTGCCATTAATTTTTGTTCAATCAATTAATCAATCAATTTCTTTTTTAAGATTTATTTAGGAAGTACCAGAGTGTCATATACATAGATTGTAATTTGAATTTTCATCTTGCTGAACTTTTGATCGAACAACTCCTTTAGTGAGTAGTATTGGTTAATCCATTAGCCAGTCTTTTAAATTTCCTATTCTGGTATTCTTTTCTTAGGATCTTCAACAAATCTATGATCAAAGCCTAAAAAACTAACAATGAATAATACTTTCCCCAAAATCATTTAAGTCAAAATATTAAAATAAAAACACCAATCAAATTTGTGCACAAATGTAAGGTCACTCTTATCTACAGGTAGTTGAAATCCACATTCATCCAGATTTTGATTCAAACAAGTATACAGCTGATATTGCCTTGCTCCAGCTGAAAACACCAGTGACTTACAACATGTTCATTCAGCCAGTGTGTCTGTGGAGTCAGCCCCCGGACCTGGAACTTATCGTAGGACATATTGGTACTGTAAGTCTGTAACCTCAACTTAAATAGGAACATCTTTCTTTTCAGTTTGTGAAAAACTTTCAGAACGAAATCTTGGGAAATATTTGTTTGGGGAGCTTTACTCTAAATTATGTATTTTCTAACTACGAGGGTTGTCCACGAATCAAGTATTCATGCCACGCTGCCGTTGCAGCTAAGCAAGCTGTTCAAATCTGAGGAAAGAACCAAGTCCTTGACTTCATCCACTAAAATTATAGTTGGTTTCCACCCAGATGCGGAGTGTGCAAGGATGTGTAAATTTGTTCTATTTTAACACTTTCTGTATACATGTATACATATCTGAAAGTACAAAAATATGTCAAATAACACTTGTAATATTTACACTTATACTGTTTATTCACAAGACAGTAAATACATATAAAAAACAATAAGTGGTAATCAATTTCGATTGGACACTCTAATCATCATCAGACCCAATAGGCGAATGTGAAGAAGAATTCAAATTCAAATTCACTTTATTGTCACATAAAAACATTTGTACATAGCAAAGCTATTAAACTGGTGATATTGTCAATTGAATATAAACCTAAAAATACAATTAAGTTACAGAACATTTTTGTCTGACTCTCAAGAAGATCAAGAAGTTATCTACATACATATGTGTCTCAACTGCCTTCCATCCCACAGAAACCTTATAATATGGAATGTGATTTATTCTTAGTGAGAGCGTCGATTTCCTTCACATTATTTATTTATTAACTACTATGACGAGACTAACGGTCACAAAAGGGTGGGATCCGACTAGAATAGTAGGATAAGTGAAGAACACTGTGTTGGTCTAGATGATTATGCTAGATTTGAACTAGCTTGCTTGGCCGTGTTGGGAACTCAATGGAGAACTTAATTTAAGGATAGCCCTCGTATAATCGAGTTATATATTATAATTTATCTAATTTCAAAAAGTGATGATATTTCAGTATAACTTGAAATATGAAAACATTGTACTCTTCATGTAGCAAAATAGGTTGGATTTTCTCCAATTATTGGAAAAAATGCTATCCAACCTATTTTATTTATATTATTTATATTAATTATTTATATTTATTTGTATTAATAATTATTATTCCCATAGTATTGAGTATTTAAAAGACCATTTTTCTATACTGTGCAGTGTTGCTACTTGCTAAACAATCACAATATTAAACAACACAACATGATTTGAGTCAATTAGTTTATTTCCTCAATTTCCACTGGTCTTCTCACTGAAATGTCTGGGATAGAACATAAGTGAGTCATATAGTATACTTACTTCCTTTTTCAATTTATAGGTTGTAGGTTGGGGAAGAGATGGCAAAGGAAATAAGATGTCCCCGATTCCACGAGTTATGGAGATACCAATAGTTTCTACGGAGGAATGTGTTCAAAGTCACAATGAGTTTGTCTTTCTCACTTCATCTTCAACTCTCTGTGCTGGAGCTAAAGATGGTAAACCAATACTTGACACCAGGGGCGGCTCCAGAGGGTAGGCCAGGTAGGCCCGGGCCTACACAAATTTTGGTAGAAATTTAATTATATCTAAATAAAGGAAAAACATTAAAACTCATTACTTTGCATTTCAATTTTTATCTCCCCTTTTTGCGGGAAGCCCCTCAAACCTCTTGTTTATGGATCAAACTACCAACTTCTTGATCCTTGTCTGGCTTACCCAAAATATTATTCCTGGAGCCGCCCCTGCTTGACACATACATAGATATAGCAGAATGTGGTATTTTTAGCCATTTCTTCTAAATAGGAGTAAATACTATGTCAACAAACCTAAACAGTGTTTGAAAAAAATATATCGCCATGTATTGACACGGAGTACAAGTTTTGTTGCGTAAAAGAAACTAATTGTTAGAAAATAAAAAGCATTCTTATTAGTGGTTTAAGAAAATAATTTACTTTTTTCACATTCCAACTGTATGTTTATAAATAATTGTGAAAATTTAAAGAATTATAAACTAATGAGGATAGTGAAAATGAAAATCAAACTAAAATATGTTTTGCTCCATAAATACAGATGGCCAATAGGAATAAAACTTTTAAGTCGGCCAATTTTAATAATAAAACACTTATGTTAACATTATGAGATATAACACAATACACAATCTTTGGTGAAATAAGAACACTGAAATAATACACTGAAAATAATACACTGGTTTCATATTTTCAAGTAGAAACAATATTATCTTATCATTTCATAGCTTTGTCTGTATACCTGACTAGGTATAAATGTATAAATCCTGTCACTAAGTGAAAAAGAGCGATTCTAAAATCTAGGAATTGCGTAACTGATCACTCGATCAGTAATCAAAATTTATTAAAAGATTTCTTATCGTTCTCAAACTTCTAATACAATTCCAGGTAGAGGGCCTTGTAATGGTGACAGTGGAGGTGGGCTCATGCTGCCAGTCAAATGGAAGAGTACTACACGGTGGGAACTGCGAGGAATTGTCAGTCTATCTCTTCTCAACACAACAACCCAGTCTTGTGATCTCACACAATACGTTGTCTTCACAGATACTGCTAAATTTCTGAGTTGGATTTACTCTATTGTTAACAAAACTCCTTAGACCTTTACTTTTTCAATAATTTTTGTGGGTTCATTGATATATTTTACAAGCGCCAAAGTATATGCTATGTGAAACAACATATAGTTCTGTTGTAAGTTTGTTTACAATAATAAAATACATGTCTAACCTGGTGTTAAATTGTGGCATTCTAATACATTTTTGCAATTACCAAAGGGAGTATTGAATATTACCTTAGTCCAGTTTCTACCTTTTAATAGCGTTCCAGATCCCAAAAGTCATAAAAAAAATTTGTTTTTTACTAATCGTGATGGAAAACGTCCGCAAACATTCTTTTACATAACGTTAACTACAGTATATAAAAAATTTTACATTTTATGGTATATATAAAAAATTACTGCCATTTTGATTTACTTTATTTAAAAAAATAAAGGAGACATTATCAAAACTAATCATACGAAAATATGATCATAATGGTTCAGTTAAAAAACGACCATTTATTTCATTCAACATGTAGCTAGATTATATAGACACCCCCTTGTCAAGCGAGACACTCGCGATAAAGCTAGACACTCACAAGCAAGGAAATCTTTAGGTACATCTATATCTTGTTTTTTTTTTTCTCACCCTGTATAGTATTGGGGAATAGTATTTATATAGAAAGTTTTGTTTTGTCAACATTTTGAGTTTTTTTGGTAGGTACTTATCCATGATATCCTTAGGTGACTTTTTTTGGAAATTTTGATTTTTAATAGAAGTTTTCCCACTAGATAATGGAAATCGGGGTTTCACAAAAACAGCTTGAATCATTTTGATTAGGCCTACAAATTTAGTATGTTATGGTCCTCTAAACTGGTCCTCTTAACTCTAAAGAAATTGTATATCCCCAAATGCTTTAAAAATTACGGTTCAAAAATGTTTGAATATTTTGTGATTTTCCCATAAAATATCATGGTTAGTCCCACCACTTGCAATGATAAGGGTTGTTGACAAGAGCTAATAATAGAAAGTATGATTCTGATTGCTGACACTGTATTCTTTTAATATGGCATGGCTAATACAAGTAAGTTTTTAATGATACTCTAATTTACAACTATCATTAGAACAAACAATTGAATCAGAATTTCCTAAAAGAACCTATACATATGATCACAAACCATCTTGTATCAACAATACAAAACAGCAACAAGGAAAACTGGATAAGGAGACACAGAGATAAGGAAACCCCAACCTCCTCCATCATTGCCGCTAACTACCAGGGATACATTTTTTATTTACCAAATAAGAGTTAAATTAGTATAAACTATACCATACTGTCTAACATAATATACAGTATATCCATTTATATGAGGACTATATCAAATATCATTTTATTACATTTTTTTTTTTCATTACAGTAACTAATGAAGCAGTACAGTTGTTTGTGACTTGTTAGTACAGTACGGTACCCAAAGTATGTGTCTAACCATAAGTTAACATTATAATAGTCATACTTACTTATTTCTCTCACATTTCTAGCATCAGCAGCATTTAGGACGTTGGTCATTGCAGGTCTAATCGCTACATTTCTTCGGCTTTTCCTGTGACTTCCTCCAAACAATCTGAATCTATTGACAATCTCATTTTTCCTCTTCTGTCTCAAGTATCTCCTTATTTTCTGACGTAGCTTGCAATCGCTCTTGCAGATATTATACCACATTTTGTTTAAACTATTGTTTGTTATGTTCGCTGCCGCTTACAGCAGCAATCATCAAGATTCACAGCCTTGTGGCTTCTTTCTATTAAATTTATACTTCTTGTGCATTGTATTTTTGAACTCATTTTACCTGACATTTTAATTTAACCCTAACACTACCATACCAACAAAGTATACGAGCCTATACAATGTAAACAGTAAGTAATAAGACTACTGTATGATAACTATTAAATTGATCTACAAACTGTCTGCTGTAATACTGTCGGCTGCACAGCTGTTTCATACCTGCTGAAAGGATGGATTTCTTTGATCCCAACTAACTACAACAGACATTTGCTAGTGGTATATCACGAGCTGTTTCACAGTCACCACACGTATGGCCTGGTTCCTGGTTCTATTCTCCAATGACACAGGAATTACTTACTACAGAAGAAGCACTGGGGATAATCTTCTGGCTACAAAGCACACTGACTTCCCATCTTCCTGGAGCTGGGTGTGTTGACTGTATAATATCCAGTATGACCCTGCTGAAGGTAAACATCCACCATTTTGTCGTCAGAGACAATATACATAGTCACCATACCCGCCAAACTTGTGACATAGATTTGCCGAGATGCCGCCTAGCCCCCTCACTGAAGAGCTATCCTCGGTCTGCGATAAGGTTTTTTTTAATTCCTTGCCGGTTCATGTACGCGACCTGGACCTAGATGACTTTAAGACGTCCCTACATGACAGGCTGGTTAATAGGCCCCTTTACAGCCTCGAAGAACTAGGTAACGAGCCACTTCTTAGCCATTTCCACAGTGTAAATATTATTGTGTAAATAGTAAATAGTTTTCTTAGTATTAAGTAAATCTGACGCAGTCATACCGATATCATCGGTCAACGACATAGACTTCAAGTAAGTACTGCCTTCTGCCGGAACCAGTGTGGCCACTACAGCAAAGACTGCCTGTTCCCTGTGGAGCGAGAACCCGTATTCTTCCTGCGGCGCATAATCTAAAGGCCGGTACACACTAGGACACCTGGTCGCATAATTTTTATTTCAATTGGAGTTCCGGCATATAGGGCAAATGCAGTCATTTGGAGGCTTCTGATTGGCTATAATGAGGGTTTACTAATCGAAAAAATAGTTATGTTAATAAAATAAAATTATATACATGCCTCAAATTCAATTTTATAATTTTTTTATTATAAAATTAAACTATCATAACCTAACCAAACTTGCTGATAATGAAAAAAATGTTAGACAAAAAGTTAGTGCCACCTGGGATTCAAACCTGGTACTTTCAGGTATTTTCTCGCTATCCACTAGACCACCGAAGCCTTGGCTCCACACCGTATCCTTGCGGTAATTGTGTTCCCTAAAGGCTAGTACTCACTAGGACACCCGGTCGCTTATCAACCGGCGATCTGGTTGACGAGCGACCAAATTGCACAAATATCGCCGTGTGTGTACGTGTCTTTCAAATTTGGTTGACGGCGATTTGTAGGTTGCCAGGCAACTTTTTGGTTTTCGGACATGTATCGAAAACCTGGGGGTTTCCGATCAACCATTTTATCGCCGGGCAATCAGATTTCTCAAAAAACTAGAGTGTGTACGCTTCAGCGACCAAGTTGATCAACTAAAGACGGCTAGCGCATGCGCAGTACATTGTTTGTGTCAACTGTCAAAACTAAACAGTGCTAGTGCTAAACGTGGTCTCTTTCAAGCTAGAGGGGTTTTTCGATTGTTTGAGTTTATTGTAGACTGCTCAAGTGTTTGTGTTCGTTTGGATGAATGTGTGTACCATGACTGAACATAGTGAAGTCAATGTTGATCAAGACGTGGCGGGCATAACCAACAATCCGGATACATCAACGACTGCGATTGGTCCAATACCCTTTAGCCCAAAATCTTTTGAACAATGTCTTCCTTCTTCTATGGTTACTGCAATTAATTAGAATTATAACTGCGGCAGCAATCTCTTCTTCGTAGGTGGGCATGTTGTCACAACACGCAACAGGTCAGTGCAACTAGAGCTCGAACCAGATTCCAGAACCAAACACAGTCCATCCCCACAAAATTTTTATTTCCTGCTCGGTTGAAAGTGCTAGGTATCCTAGTGTGTACCTCCCGGCAATAAAACGTTCAATCATCAACTTAGTCGCTTGTCAACCAGGTCGCCGGTTGATAAGCGACCGGGTGTCCTAATGAGTACTAGCCTTTACTGCCCTAAGATGGTCGACATTGCATTTGGCTTCATCAACAATGACCTACAGAACATCTACAATTGGTCTAACAAAAATGGTCTGAATTTGAATGTCAAGAAATGCTGCGCAATCCACATAGCCCCTCAACAACTTGCACATTCCCTCAATGATAAAGCCTTGACCATTATGTTAAATGGCGAAGTGCTCATGGTCAGTGACAAGGTCAAAACCCTTGGTGTCACATTGGACAGTGATCTCTCCTTTTCTGACCATATTAGTCAGACTGTAGAGCGTGCTGTTGGTAGGTTGAGGGGGCTGTACAGATTCAGAAAACTGTTACCAGAGGCAGCCAAAATTCAGCTTGTGCAGTCACTGATTCTATCAGTATTTCAATACTGCTATCCTGCATACGGCAATAGTATCTCAAAGGAGAATATGGGGAGGATACAGAAGGTTCAGAACAGTGCCATCAGGTTTGTGTTCTGCCTCAGCCGCCGTGACCACGTGTCACCTTTCAGGGAGGCCCTGCACCTACTCCCCATGGATGTCGTATGTAGAGTGCTGACATGCTGTTTGGTCCACAAAGCTCTCATTGTTGGAGAGCCTCAGTACCTCTGTGACAAACTCTCCCTTCGGCAGGATATTGCTTTGCGTAGCACCCGGCAGGACAAGCTCCTCCATTTTCCGAGGATAAGTCGTGAGGTTGGCAGGAGGGGGTTTGCCTATTTCGGTCCGGCATTGTACAATGGACTCCCAGCAAGCCTCAAAGACCTGTCTGTTACTTGTTTCAAAGAAAGACTGAAATCTATATTTTCAAGTTAGATTAAGGCCAAAAGTGTTTTTATTTGTTAGATTTTAGTTTGTTATTGTCTTGCATGTTTGTACTGAATTGACAAAAGTTATTTTTAAAAGCTGTTTGTACAGAAAATCGCTTTATAAATAAAGGCATTTTTATATATTAGATTTATTTATTATTAAACAAATCCTTCTTGCCTGGGCCTAACCTAAACACCCCAATCATTTTTCCTAATTTCAATACATTTACTTATAGTTTGTTTGGAAGTTGAATTACAGTATGAACTAAATCAACTGCTTTCCTATTGTCTTTTGGTGTCTTAAAATTTAAATAATCGAGAAAAATACAATAATGGGTAGAAACATCGTGCACGAGTGC